CAGCGCTACACCCTTGCAATACTTGGGGCACACAACCTCTATTAATGAAAGGACTTCTCTCATTTTCTTTAACATCAAGGAACTGTGGCTTCCTCTACCAGCATCACAGACAACAACACATTAGAAACCAACTTCATCAGGTTTGGGAGTCCAGATGCACACAGTCTTGTAAAACCAGAGGTTGTTTCCGTTAGATCCTTGATGCGTTGCTGCATTTACTACACTAATTCTCATAAAAGCACAGAAGCAAGGGGAAGTTTATATGGAAAATAAGCAAAAAGATTTTTTTTCAATATCACACACACTATACTAAAACAAGACTAAAGAAAGGGATGTGCTGGTATAGAGTGACTGGCTATGATTGTCAACAAAGAGTGACGTGCCCATTTTAAAGCAGTTCATTTAGGAATCATCGTCTCGGCCACAAGCCTAGGTTGATAATTTGAGCCCGACACTAGAAAATTATGACTATTATCATATAAGAAAATGCCATATCAAATTGTATTAAATTTATTCCAAACTCGTCAAAGGATACAGAGAAAACATGACACACACATTCCACTATTATAAACGACAAATAATACCAACACATTGCATTTAAAAGAAAACTGCAATTTGATGAAGGAATCTGCAGAATTACCTGCAGAGGCAGTTGAGTAGTGTACAATATATCTGTTGAGGATGCGCAGAATAACCGATTGCGCTCCATGTCGAAAGCAGCTAATCGGAGAACTTCATCCTCCGATTGTAGGCGAACTTTTGAAGAGAGGCTCTTCCATAGCTTCAGATTATTCATCTTCTTCTAATTCCTCTTTCTGCAAAACAAACAAACTGCGAGCTCAGAAAGACCAGAGGAAATTGGCGGCGAATGAAGCTTTTCAAGCAAAAGAGTAGAAAGGGTTTAGAGTGTGGCTCAATGATTCGATCGAAACTGATAACAAACTTGATCCGTGCTTTTAACCATGTTAAATGAATAGCGTGGTTTTAAATTAAAATAAAAGAAAAAATAACAGAAAAGAAATTGAAGAGGAATAAAAGTATATGAAAAAAAAACTTTTATAAAATAGGGAGATTAAATTATGAAAAAAATTTGTTACGCAATAGATTCAAAAAAATAAGTAACTTTTTTAGAAAATATGAAAATATTTAATTTGAGACAAATGGAGCATATTTTAAATTTGTTATTTCAAACACCAACACTTTTTAGTTTTAAAACATTTTTAAAAACATAGTTTTGAAAAACAATATTATCATTGTTTCAAACATAATCACTTTTCTTCTCTTTAAGAAAAAAAGAACAAAAAGATAATAATAAAAATGGTGCACATTTTCAAAATCATAGATGGGGCAACGGCCGCAACGGTGTAAGTTTTCAAATTATTGGAAGTAACAATGCACATTTAGCAAACCACAAGAGGTATTGGTGCAATAAACTTCTGATTTCAATAAGTACTGTCTAATAGCTCTGATGCCTCATAGTTTGAAAAATTGACACAATCTATTTTCACAACTTATTTCTAAAGTTTTTGTAGTTTCAAAATCATTTTCTGACCATTTACCGGCAAAGCGGGGGTATTGGCGCATAAGTTATAAACCATATGGGACACTCGTACTCATTTCTTATTTTTAGCTAATTATTTGTGTTTTCCTTCTTTTTTCTTTCCTATATTTTTTAAGAATTTATTTTCAATTTTTTATAATGTTTTAAAAATTTTAAATTTCTTTGGGTTTGAAATAAAAATAAAAAAATTTAACTACATCTATCTCAAATTAAATATTTTCACTTTTTGTTACTTAGAATAATTTTTTAGAAATTAAAGTTCAAAAAGAAAATCCAGAATAAAAAATAAAAATATGGAAAAACGAAATGAAAAAATTAAAATACGCAAAAAAGAGTCTTCTACAAAAAACAATTTTCGGACACGCCTAAAAAAGTTCTTAAAATTGAGATATCCAAAAAGGATATTCATTTTAATTTTTTTAATATTTTGTTTCTTATTTTATTCCTCATTTTTTGAAGTTCTCAAAAAAAATTACTTTTTTCAAAAAAACAAAAAATTTAGTTTGAGATGTACCGATGCATTATATGTTCATTTTTTCAACCAAAAATAACTTTAAATTTTAAGAAGATTTTAAAAGTAATTGTAAAAAACCTTTATTAATAAATGAAACAAATAAAGAAAAAAATGGAAAAAACAAAAAATAAACGAGAAATAAAAAATCATCACTAGTGCCCCCTATAGTTTAGAAAATATGCACCAATGTCACCCCTTCGTCGCCAGAAAAATGGTCGGAAAATAATCAGATGGGACACGGGTGCAGTGTTTTGAAACCCCAAAGACTTTAGAAAAAAGTTTTGAAAATAGAAGTATTGGTGCTTATTTTACAAACCACGAGAGGTATCGGCCTAACTATTTGTCCCCTTATAATTTTGAAAATGAGTAACAACACATCATCTTTTTCTTTCTTTATTGTTTTTCCTTTTTAAGGTCTTCTGTTCATAAAGAAGAAAAATTTTGTGTTTGATATAATGAAAGCCTATTTTTCAGAACTATTATTTTATAAAGTATTTTTTAGGTTTGTGTTTGTGGGTTGTGTTGACAAAAGATTCCCAAACATCTTTTGTGAACAAGGATGGACTGAAATAGCCTAGAATCGATTTCTATCTTGACAAGGGAAGGCGAACTAGACGCATATGTCCAGTTGTAATATGGGGGCAGTCTAATCTATGGCCACTCTCATTCAGTGGTTACGGAAGACACTGGACACCTACAGTGCTTTGTTCGTAGAAATAATAGTTTGTACTCCCCTAACCACTCTCCCCACCCTGTCCCGACCCCAACCTATCCTCCACCTACGTTAATTACACCCTGCTTGTCTAGTTAATTTTGTATAAAAACGTTGTTCCCAAAGTCAACTAAACTTGCGTGATGCAACTTACATGGTAAGAGAGGATATAAAGTATCGATTTTGCGAACAAAGCATCGTAATTCTTCCAATAAAGACAATATCCTCCGTGGCATGTCTTTCTACTATTGAGTATACTAGATTCGTACTCATGCGTTGCACGAGGAGAATTTCGTAATTATATTTGTCAAACTTTTTAAAATTTAATTAGGAGGGTAAATCATAACGGAAAAATTTCTTTCTATACAACTTAAGAACTTCCAAAGACAAAGAAAATATTTCTACATAATTATTATTTTTTTTTTTGAAAGTCTACATAATTAATTATTGATAATTAGAAAATGGACAAAACATTACAAATGGCACGTGTATATGACAAAAAAAAAATTCCTCAATTCAGTTGTGCAACATAATAAACATGGTATCCTAATTTGATACTCCCTTTTTCCTTAAATATTTGACACACTTGTATTACCAAGGCAAAATATCAAGTATTTTCAATTCATTTTATTTACATATTGGTATAGAAATAAAAAATAAAATTAACATATCAAAAAACTACATGAAAAGTTCTTCGAAATAAGAGGTGTCAATGATTTTTTTATTTTATCAAATAACTAATGAAATCGTAGAAATAAATAAAAATAATGCAAATATATAGGGAGGGAGAGAGTAATTTGATTTCATTTTCGTTTGTCGAGTGGATAAAGGCCAACGAGCCCAAACCCAACTCTACAAATCCTACTACTCCCTCCATCCCTAAATATTTGTCACACTTGTATTCCCGAGACAAAATATCAAGTTTTTTCAATTCATTTTATTTACATATTGCTATGGAAATAAAAAATAAAATTTACATATCAAAAAACTACATGAAAATTCTTCAAAATAAGAGGTGATGGTGTAAATTACTTGACCGGTCAAACTATACTAGACTGAGTCTAGAATAGTTTGCTTGATTTGGTAAAGTAAGAAAGGTAAAAACACGCAGATTGACCGGTAGGACTTTAGGTGGAACACTTGTAGCCCAATCTATATTATAACGGAGAATGCACGGGTGCTTTTACAAGAGAGTTTAGAGAGAATGAATCTGGATCCCTCTTCCTGAGGTTTACACGAGTATTTATACTAGGCTATGGGGGACAAGACCACGTGCGCCCACGTGGGGGCACGATGCTGATGTGGTGCGAGGTGACTGGTTTCGTCCTTGAGGTGCCTTGTCGCCTTGTGAGGGGGATTATTCCCTTTGTCGAGTAGTGCCTTGGATGGATTCTTCAGCATCTCCAGTTGTCCTCTACTGACACGGGTCGCTACACGCCAAGCCCTCGTAAATTCTTTTCTGCCGACACTTTCCAACCCTAGAAACTACACCGGGTAATCTCCGAGGGATGAATTCATCGAAGTCTGGGAATAAATAGGATGACAACGTAGTTTGACCGGTATACTTTTTCGTGAAGTGTACCGGTCATCTTTTGGCCGATTATATATCGTTTTGCTGACGATTTAAGTCTCCCTTCCAAAACTTTCGAGATTGACCGGTCAACTAATTGGTCTTCTCCTTTGACCGATCGTGGGTGGAATACACCCATCAAGAGGTGTCAAGAATATTTTATTTTATCAAATAACCAATGAAAACATAGAAATAAACAAAAGTTCCCTCAACTGCTCAGAAAACAAATGTTGTGAATATTTTGTGAATACAACATGGATTTGAGTTGGAATGTCGGCTCCTTCTTCCTTAATTTCTGTCTCCCCTCTCTCTCTCTCTCTCTCTCTCTCTCTCTCTATATATATATATATATATATATATATATATATATATATATATATATATATATATATATATATATATAAAGAAGAACTCCCCATTATTCATTTATTCACGCAAAAATTGAAAAAACTCACCTTTCATTCTCTTACTTGTTCCCCAAGCTATACATATATGCCTTCTTCGACTTCCAAATCCCCTGTTTCTCTGTCCCCTCTTCTCATGGCTCTGTTTCTTGATCTTCTTCTTCTGCTGTCACTCTGCTTCTCACCATCATCATCGGACGCCCGAATCCTCCGACCAACCGCCGCCCCCACTTGCATATTCCGCACCCTTTTCCGGTTCGGAGAGGGGAAAACATCGCTCCTCCACGGCCTGGATCTGCCACGCGGCCATGTGTCCTCCTCCGCCGCCGCCGGCCTCCCCTCCCCTGTTTTCAAGAATGCTCTGTTCGGCTCCGATTCCAGCTTCGCCGCCCCCGGAGCCGTCGTTATGAGCCAGGGTTTCTTTGTGAAGAACGGAATTTCAGTTCAGGCCCGGGATATCGCCGGGAATTCACTGGGATCCCAGATCGATCGCTTCCTGGACCTTGTTTCNCGATCAAGGAACAACTCAAGAGGCTCATAGGTGCCGGGGCGGTGAACCTGGTGGTTTCCGGCGTTCCGGGGCCGGAGGACCGCCGCGGGGCTGAAGGGATGGAGATGTTCGGGCGGCTGCACGACGACCATCTCCAGCAAGCGCTGGTGGAGCTGAAGACGGAGTTCCCGGAGGTGGACATTGTGTATGGGAATCTGGAGAAGATGACTGAAGATGGCGGCCATTGGGCACTCCAGTCCTCCCACTCCGCCGCCTGCAAGCATTCCGGTCGCCGGCGCAAGGCTTTTCTGGCGAGATGATCGATGAATGGGTTTTGTACTAGGAAGTGAACTGAAGACGAAGACATTTGTTTTCCTTTTTAAATTGAGAAATTTAGCTATAAGACTTAAAACTTTCCTAGGACCGTATGTTTTTATTTTTCAATATAGAACTTTTGGTCATTATTAAGTAGTCATTATTCAACTAAATGTCCATCATTGCTGGACATTATTCCTTCCACTAGGTCATTATTAAGTCCTATTTAGGAAATAAAAAAGTTTAAATCCTACAGAAAAGTCATTATGTTTTAGTCATATTTAGTGCAAATTTAACTTTTAAATTTAACATTTTAAATTTTAGAATTCTATAGTTTTAATAATTATTTATGAGTATTGTTAATCCCAGAATAACTTTTTTACTTTCTATTTCCCAAAATGATACTCTCTTCGTCCCAAATTATTTGTGACATTTGTATTTCCAAGGCAAAATATCAAGTTTTTTCAATTCATTTTATTTACATATTGGTATAGATATAAAAAAAACTACATGAAAAGTTTTTCAAAATAAAAGGTGTCAAGAATATTTTATTTTATAAAATAACCAATGAAAACCTCGAAATAAACAAAAGTTCCCGCGACTGCTAAAAAAGTAAATGTTGTGAATATTTAGGGACGGATGGAGTATATACTTTTAAGTTTTACGGAGTAACATTTAGGGGGTGTATTCAATCCAAATTTTGATGAATTTTTTGGGATTCTAAAAATCTGTAGATATTCAATTTAGATTCAAAAAAGTTATTTAAAATCTGGGCGTATTCAATTGCGATTTTAGAAAATCCTTCTAAATATGATGGTATTCAAAAAGTTGTTAACTTTTTAAAGATTTTTTAAAAAGGTGGATTTTGATTGATTTTGTAGCATTAGGTATAAATATAAATCCATTCTCAAATCTCATCCAAAAGTCCAAGATTATAAAAACTCCTATCGTCCTTCATCCTTCCTCCTAAGTCCGACCGTCCGTCTCTCCCTCAACCTCTGATGTCTTCTTCTTCATCATTGGCCCTGTTTCGGAATAGCGTTAGAGATTAGCGTTAGCGTTTTGGATAAAATTTTAACGGTGCAGATCGCTTTGAAAACGCTAACGCTAAATGCTGCCCGTAGATAGCTTTTTCAAAACGCTAATCGCTAACGCTGTTCCCAAACAGACACATTGTCTCTTTTGCAATTCCACGCTGCAGGGTTGTCTCCTTCATTCTCTGGGTATGTGGAGAACATGTGAGGACGAACTCACTTCGTCTTTCTCGAATCCCAGGGTCAGCAATCTCAGATTCTTCGGATTCTCGCTCTGTCTTTCTCGAATCACATTGTCACTGATCCAGTGGGGGAATAATTTGGGGAAAGGTTTGTGGATTTACACAGTTTTAGAAAATGAGAACTTGTTCACAAACTGATTTTAGATGAAGTTTTTGGAGGAAAAAGAAAAGAAAAAAACGGAAATTACTGAGATGGATCGGAAGAAGTGGCTAGGGTTCTTGGGAGAGGAGGAAAAAAAGAAAAGAAAAGAAAAAGAAAAAAACAGAAAGAACTGAGTTGGATCGGAAGAAGTGGCTAGCTAGGGTGGAGGAAAAAAAGAAAAGAAAAAGAAAAAGAAAAAAAAGAAAAAAAACATAATTTTATAAAATCCTATGATAAAATACATTAGAATCTTGCTAACTCTATGTAAACTTAAAAGAATCCAATGAAATTACAAAATTTATAAATTCTAAACAATTTCTCAAAATCTTTTAAAATTCAAATTGAATACATCCCACTTGGTCTCCCGATAGATTTTATTTACTCGTACATTTTCACTAGTTTGATAAAATAAAATAAACTTCTAGCATCTTATTTTATAGAAATTCTGATGTAATTTTAAAATATGTAATTTATCATTTTTATTTCTATACAAATTTGTAGATATAATTATTTTGAAAAAAATATGAATTTTACGCCTTATTCAGACACTAAATGAATTTGAGAGCAATAGAGTATCCATCAATTATTGGCTTATTGCAATGAATCTATCATTTGAATTACTTTTTTTAAAACCAAATCTAGATCAAACGAAGCATCATAAAAACCTCAGATAAACTTTATTTACGAGGTAAACTTTATTTACGAGGTCTGATTAAAATTATTTTCAACTCAATTTAGTTGAAAATTGATATGGAATTAAAAAATTACATAAAAAAATCTACAAAAATAAAATATGACAAGACTATATTATTTTATCAAATGGGGACTGAAAATGGGTAAAGAACGTGGTTAAAATTTGACCATTAAATAATAAATTGACAACTTAAATTAGAACGGAGAGAGTATTATGATGTGACAGTATCAAAAGAACCTTAGTGTATGTTTCTCACATTAACCAACACAACTCCAAGCCTAGGAACCACAAAGTGTGACCAATACTGAAATCAAAAACTTGCGTTTTGGATCACAAAATTTTACACATTCCAAAAAAAGGAAAGAAAAAAAGGGCAAAGCCAATGCCTTGCATTTCTCTTGGTTTGTATAGATGGAGAAAATGTGGCAAAGAATAAACAAGGAAAACCTCAGTCAACTTGAACAACAAGAGTGGAACATTTGAAGTTTTGAAAAATGCAACAAATACTGAATAAATTGCACTTAACTCACGTAGAGTACTCGGCATTTATCTTCACGTAATCATAACTCAAATCACAGCCCCATGCAACTCCGCGTCCCGGGCCATCACCTGCATATATATATGCATGTGAAGAAGAATGATGAGTAAAACGAATTTGCTTTTTTTCTACTCCTATTCCACAATAACTGTCTATTAAGGATTATTGGATACATTAGATTTTGAATGAATGTAGACCTAGGTATGTCTACATCCATTCAAAATCTAATGCACCTTAATAGACAGTTATTTTGGAAGGGAGGGAGCATAAAAACGACTGAAACAAGTTATTTTTTTCAAAGACAGAGTCACACCAATAGATATGTGAATTTCCACGGTGCCATGAGTTTCCCCAGCCTTCCTCATATAATTACTGGCTGCAATCCTGCAAGAACGAAGGGTATGGAGAGTTCATTAAATGCAGAAAACCAAGTAGTTGAAAAGCATGTGCCAATAGAGAGAGAGGCAAGAATGGGGTTTTGTCTTTACAGGAGGCACTAGCCATAGCCAAGCAGGTAGCATGTACTGAAGGAATCATTTCGCAATGTTTCTTGACACACTTTTCACATAGTGTTATTTGGTAAATGTAACTTAGGGTATCAAGTCTCAAAGTCAGAATACAACACAATCGAGATTATGTCGGCTTTTCTTTTTATGAACTCCACTAATTGTTCCTACTTTTTTAAAATTGACCCTCTTATGATTTTATTGACATGTTTACGCAACTTTTCATAAAAAATTTCCACCTTTTGGAGGGTAAAATTGGAAAAGTATCACGTGCCAAAAGCAAATGTCCACCATGAGGGCATTTTCAGACCAATAGTGCATTTCCCGAATACATTGGAATCAAGGAATTGTTGGTGGTTGTTACCTATCGAAAGGAAGAGGTTGCCCGGCATCCATAAGCAGAGTATCTCCTAGTGATATTCGGAGTTTATTTGGGTTGAAAACAATGCCAGCATAGCCAGCAGCACAAGCAATGCGGCCCCAATTTGGATCCCTGCCATAAATGGCAGCCTGAAAAGGGAATTATTCAAAGAGTGGAAATAAGTCAATGATATGTCAGAACAGGTTCTGGAAATGCCTAATTACTAAGCTTTATATCTTTTCATGCCTTGGTAAGTGAAGAAGAAGCAACTGAACGTGCAATTTTTGCTGCCTCAGCTTCATCTTTTGCTCCATCTACATTTACCTGCATATCGAAATTCAAAATACATCTTAGCCAGTACTAAATATAAAAAGTTTAAGATGATATACTCTCCGGAAGAAACCTTTCCTACCATTGTTTTTTATTTTCAAAACAATCCAACCATAAAGATATCAATCAGGAACCTAAACTATTTAGGAAATATGAGCATTTGTTTATTTTATGAGTCTAATCAGAGGATGATACGTCACCTATTAACATGGTTTTTTTCATCCAAATCAAAGAACTTAAAACCTTCCAAATCCTCATGCTTTAAGCCGTGGGAAAATGAAGTCTAGCCATAATAATATTTACATATAAATACATGCATATACACATTTTACAAAAACACCCATAATGGGGATAAAAACAGTTAAGCAATGATAATTTAAGGGAATTTAGCTAGTCTTTGGTGTTTTTGGAGGTATCTTTCTCCTTCGGACCACCAAAATACGAGAGATCTGCATACCTCTACTAAATGCTTGGTTGAACAACATTCGTGCCTGGAATTCCGACACAAAATCTAACACAGAATCTAACATATATTCCACATCAAATAAAACATATTTATATCTTCAAAAAATAAGGTAGTCCCCTAGTCATAGTGAAGTACTTTCTCCATCCTAAAATCAACTTCCCATGTTGATTTGGCAAGCATATTAAAAAGTGAATTTGTGTGGTTGTAGTATATTAAGAAAGTGAACTGTTTGAAGTTCTATTAACACTATTCAATTTTTTGAGTCTTCAATTTGTATATTCTTATATTTAAGACACAAGATTGATTGCTTTGTTGTTTCTTATTTTGTTTTTGTTTATAAAAAAGAATTGTTTTCTTGAGTCTGAAATTTTGTACATTATGATTACTTTCTACCTCGTTTTTATTTTATTTCAGCTACTTTCGTGTTCATTTACCAATGAAAAAGTCAATCTTTTTTTGCACCCAACCGAAATTAATTATTTTTAAGCAACTTTTTATCAAACTTACCAAAAATGTTTCTGATTATAATCAAAGCAATAAGTGATTATAAAATATAATCGATTATTGAAACAATAAAAAATGCAATTTTCTCAAACAAGCTCAAAGTTAACCTATCTTTCAGAAAATTCCCATAGAGCTAGCATCTTTTTGGAAAAATAAAATGCTTGGATACTACTAGCATTGACTGGGTGAAGTAAGTCATTGAAGATCTTCAAAACGTAGCTATTATTTGCTGGACATATTCAGTACTACAAGCATCATTAGCAGCTTAGCAACAAGAGTAAGAACCTCAATAAGACAGGTTGCGCCTTCTCCATCCCAAGCTATAGATTTTGCCAGTCCCTGCATTACCTGCATAATATCCATGTAGTTGAGAGCAAGAATATTGTGATTTGTTGAAATGATTCCCTCTGTCCCAAAATAAACTTTGGTACTTGACTTCACAGAAGAAAAAGGGTTGAAAAGTAAAAAACGGGTGGGTGCAATTTAAATAGAGGAAAGAGAAAATTCGTGAAGCGCATATTACATTGCTAAATAGGAAAAAAAGGAGAAGTATGAAGTTCATTTTGGGAAAATAGAAAAAGAGAAAATGTGAAGTTTGTTTTGTGAGAAAGTGGTTTCAACGTCACTACAGATAAATACATTTCTACACTAAAAATTAAATGTGTACATTAAAACTTGCTCATGACAAGATGAGAATAGATTAGGAGGTTACACATACAGCATCAAGACACATCTGTAGGTGGTTTGCCTCTAAACTGTTCATCGAAGAGATCTTGTTCGCCCCTGAGAGCCCACTAGCCAAAGCAATGACAGCATCATTGGTACTGGTGTCTCCATCTACCTGTGAAGCATATGTATCTGAAAAAGTTTAGAACATCTTGTGTGGGTCAAAATGTATCAGCATAGATCAATACATTTGCCTCTACAACCTTCTAAAAAAACAAGGGCATATTAACCTTACATTTAAGTGTTTGTCTCTACACTCAAATTCTCTTTTGTTGGGGTAGGGATGTTAATATTTGGATGCTCCAAATTCTTCCATCCCTCCACCTATTAGCGTTAAATGGAAAGAAATGAGATGGCACTTCCTCAAAATCATAATCTTTTATCATTTATAATCACTTCATTAAAAAAGGTCTGCATAAGCTTACCCTCCCCAAACAAAAGTCATGTTTGTATAATTAATAAAATACGGTGTACTATTTTCCATTTCCTTTTAAAACTAAACGAAACTAGAGAACAATATAACACTTCCTAAATTATACTACATCTTACATTTTCTCCATTTTCTTTGTATTACATGCAAGAAACCATCAAATTTTTCCCATAAAGCCTTCTCTCTTTTCTATCTTAGCATAATCTAGATGGAGTTTGATCTTAGCAAATTATTCAATCTATGGCGTGAGAGGGGCCCACTCATATGTGCACATTATAAACTCATCTCTTCTTTTCGTTTACATGCCAACACCCCACTCAACCAATGCAATTGAAACACACGGAAACAAAGACTTGGGTGGCCACATATGACCAAAGAATGTACATCATAGTATTTAATACTCCCTCCGTCCCCCTAAGATGTTCTCATTTTGACTTTTGGTGGTTTTTAAGGAGAGTTGAAAAAAGGTGAAAGTTTACCATAATACCCTTAATGAAATATGGGTGGAGTGTATTAAATGAGGTGGGTGGGGTGTAATAAATAAAGTAAGTGGGGGTAGTTATGGTATTTTAATTGTTAAAAAATGAAATGAGAAGATCTATTGTGGACAAAGAAAAAGGACTATTGAGAAGATCTATGGGGGACGGAGGAAGTAGTATCTTACTGCTAATTCTATTTTGGAAGTTCAAGTAGATTAGGCATTGTTGTTACCGTAATTTGGTTGAAACTTCGGCTCACAGCAATTTGTACCAATTTTCTCCAAACTTCACTTGTAACCAAGGCATCGGTAGTAATGACCTAGAACACACACACACACACACACAAATTATGGAACAATAGAGTAAAACATTATTTTTCATCACAGCATAAATAAGAGGCAGACTGACATACACCAAGCATTGTAGCCATGTTAGGATGAATCATTCCGGAACCCTTTGCCATGCCACCAACCCTTATACGTGTCCCTCCCACCTGGTCAGGTACTTTGAGTTAGACAATATCATCTTTTCATCATACACTTGTAGAAGTGTCATGAAATTGTTGCTACAACCAAGAGGATTGATATTGTTAACATGCCTATACATTTTTTTGCTATGTTTGGAACACAAAAAATGATAGGGAAACAAAAATAACATGGAGTAACAAGGAAAATAACTTTTTATATTCGGCTTTACCTTGAAAATTCTGACTTGAACTTGATAAATATTTAGATAAATTTAAATTTCTTCATCTTCATGTAAAAAATATGCATCTCTAAATTAAGTTTGAAAAAATATCTAAAATTGATTTATTGAGTTTGAGCTATAAAAAAAGTCAAAGTAAATTTCATTCCAAATTTCCCCTTTACTTTCCGTCGAATTTTTTTGTCCATCATTATCCAGGTTCTGAACAAAACCTTATGGTGAACATGAACAGAAAACAACCGAACGGGTTGTCACTTATCTTAGCAAGCACTATGTTTAGAAACTAAGATTAAATACCTCAGACTCAATCGCCACACTCTTGCTGACCAGATCAGTTGTAGTTATTGCTACAGCGGCTGAATTTGCCCTGCACAAAGAGAATATAAAAACAGAGCTGTTAGCACATGAATGGAAAGAGTACACAACATGGAAACACTATTACAGCAACAAAAATGGAAAAATATAATACATATGAAAAGTACAGAAATAAACGGTACTGCTTGATAAGTAAAACAATATCCACACAAAAATAGATGAATAGGCAAAGCACCCATCAACACTTGATGACAACAGACCAACTAGCTTTGGGAGTGAGTTGAGAAGCGCCTCCTACATATGATGTAAAACACATAAATACATAATCTCAAACTTCTTTCCATCAAACTCAATTTACCAATTAGGTAAATTTAAGGTTTCCAGACAATATGAAGGCACATGAAAGATCTATAAATACTTAGTAAATAGATAATCCATACAAGATTTAAACATTCACCTTCTTTATTCTTTTTCCAATGACCCCAGTTGATTCAATTAACACTTCCTCATTCTTCAGGTTAAGTAACTGTCAATTCAAAGGTTTCCATTAGATGCATGACTTCCTTTTGTCTCGAATGGCTTGAAAGAGAACAAATCCAAAAATATATAAAATAGAAATACATTAGCAAGAGCAGACGAGCAATCAATAACATCCTGGAACCCCGCATCACCCTGCAAATAATATTTTGAACTCTTAGCTAGTAGCAGTGAAGAAAATCAATGATAAAGTTGCTCTATCTATGGTGCTATTCAAATTGTAAACAGATGAGGATTTTTGTCAAGAATCTGAAGATAAGCACATGTAAAAATAGCCGTATATGATTGTTTTAAAAAACATATGACATTCTAAGTTTAAAAGAAATTACCGTAGCAGCGTTAGCTTGACCAGCATTTATTAAAACTGCACGAGCCTGAAATAAATAGTAACATTCAAACTTGTGTAATCGCATAAGAGTGTTATTCCATAATCTTTTATGAAGATAAATATTGAATAAATTAAGCCCTCTATTGTGTTGGCTTATTAATTTATATAATTGAAACATCATGTTAGTCAGTCAGCTTCAGCAAGGAAATTGGGACATAAATCAACAACCACCAAAAGATAAGTGGTGTTTCATATACCCTGCCTTCACAAATGTAAGAACTCACACATACCGTAGGTGATGCATTTAATGCATTTTTGCAATATATTACAGGTGCCGCTGCTACCACATTTGTAGTGAATGCTCCTGCATATCATGGTTTCATGAAAATAAGTGAAAAAAGAATTCTTAAAATGGTATATTGATAATCTATGATGGAACACAAAGAAGCAAACCTTCCATTAGAAGAAAACCAAACGGTAACAAAAAGAGGAAAGAAATAAAAAGAACAAGACCTGTTGCAGATTTTTGCTCTAGGGGCACTTGAGGCAAAAGCTTACCTGCAGAAATGGCATCTACATCACATGTGACAAGTGCTAGGTCAGGCTTCTCTCCAGCACGCAATCCAGCGCGCATTCCAGCAGCTTTGAACCCGACTGCAGCAGTAACGCCTCCAGGGATCTACAAGTTTACAGCACCCTAAGTAGCCTACTGATGCAAGTCATGTGACCAACCTCGACTAAAATCTGACTACATTAATTTAAGAATATTGCATACTTCACCCCATACCATATTTTGTGAGTATTATTTATGTGGCTTGAATCAAATCATACATTACACATTCAGTCCATGTTCTCTTCACCTGATCTGATTGGTCCTGATCTGATTGCAATAAGTTCTGATCTGATCTGGTCTAAATTGATCTGAATGTAGTTATATTTAAATCTCTGATCTGATTCTAATAGGAATAAGCAATAAGTAAAAAAAACAAGTTGGGGAGAACATGGCCTCAATATTAGCCACACAATACTAATTTTCCTAAACTTGTGTGTCACTCTCCGTGTCCCAAAATTAGTGGGAAAGACAGAGTATGTGTTTTGATTGATTCATACTCTCTCCGTCCCAAAATTTTACTTTGCCCAAAACAAAGCAAAATTTCAAAATTTTTCAAAGACTTGTATAGAAATAAAAAATAAATTACATATTTAAAAACTACGTCAAAAGTTCTACTCCCTCCATTTTTTAAAACACTTCCTCTTTACCATTTCAACCCTCTCAATAATTTTTGTTTGTTTGTGTTTTTTCGTTGATTATTTAATGAAATAAAATATTCTTTTCACCACTTTTTTTTGTAGAACTTTTGATGTAGTTTTCAAATATGAAATTTTTACTTTTTATATCTATACCAATTTGTAAATAAAATCATTTTAAGGAAGATGAGATTTTGCACGTAAAAAAGAAAGAGGAAGTGTTTTAAAAAAACAGAGTGAGTACAAAACAAGAGGTGAAAATGAACAAAAGTTTACACGGGAGGAGTTGAAAATGCCGGAAGTTAAAGTTTTTCAACATGTGGCCCTCGGTTTATACTCCAATTTTAAATTTCAAATTGAAATTGGCATTAGATACCTAGCAAAAATTAGATTTGAAGAAATTGCATTTGAAACTTTTGTCATCTTACGTGTCTTATTTAAGCTTGAAGTGTTAGTAAATATCTATTTCCACATTGGGCATTGGCATCTTGGGATTTTATAATGTGATTTTATATAAATATCAATGCAAAAAAAATCGCAAATCATAGATGTTTATGTAAATGTCTTTCAAAGGACATTAAACATTGGTGAGTGTAAAATTTTGTAAAAATTCAATTTTTACAAAAAGAAATAAAATAATAATTTAAATCTAGGATATTTAAGAGATATATTCACAACTTAAGTTCAAAACAGTAGTCAATGTTACACACAAAAGCTAGGTAATGTGCACAATGTAAAACAGTAGTTTGAAAAAATCAAACATGTGGCATTGCAGCACCGAAACATGCGGCGTTGCAGCAAACAAACATGTTTGCAGTTAGCGATTACGACTTGCATATATCATTATCTTGTGCTCCCCCTCGTCAATTATGAGGGGGCACTACAAATTCATTAGTTGAATCCTAATAAACTCTTTAATTCTTCTGACCTAGTAGATCTTGTGTTGCATGATGAGTTCTCTCAGCTCCTCATCTATATCATCGCTCAAACTTTGCAAAACACAACGGCGATATATCATTTTGTTCTCTTTGGCATCAAGCAGTTGCTTCTTTTTCTCCCTTCTGATAGTATTGAGATTTCTCAGACTCTATTGATTTTCAGATAATGTTGACAGCCCAGAAAAATATCAATACTACTAGAAGGGAAAAAAACGATTTGGTGGTTTGAAGAGGCAGTTGGCTCATTTAGAATGAGGCATTTCTGAAATATAGAAAGAAAATGACATTTTGAAAATTTTGAAAAAACTAGTTGAAATGAATGCTAAAGGGATTGAAATGATATATTGCAACTGAGTTTTAAAAGTCGAAGCTATGATATAGATGAGAAGCTAAGGGAGCTTGTCTTGCAACACAAGATTGCCAAGTCAAAAGAATTGAAGAACTGATTAGGATCCTACAAATGAATTTGGAATGCTCTCCCATAATTGATCAGGGGGAGCAGGAGATAATGATATATGCAAGTCCCAATAATGATAATGATAATTATACTGTGATTCTTATCATATTTTTTGTGTAGTTGGAGTCGGGGGTCTCTTGTAAACAGCCTCCCTACATCTGAGTAGGGGCAAGGTCTGCGTACACACACCCTCTCCAGACCCTACTGTAGTGGGATTCAACTGGGTTGTTGTTGTTGTTGTTGCAAGTCGCAATCCCTTCACCGTCAAGTGTTTGAGTGTTGCACTGCCTCCTGTTCGAGTGTTGCAATGCCACATGTTTCAATTGTCTAACCTACTTCTTTACATCCTGCAGACTACTTATCATTTTGTTTTAAATTGACTTCTTTTTGAACTTAAGTTGAGAATATATCTCTTAAATTTCCTTGCTTTTAAATTTTTATATCATCTCCTTTTCATTAAAATTGAATTTTTTGGAAAATTATACATAAACCGATGTTTAATGCCTTCGAAAATTATTTATCATTTTCATTAAAATTGAATTTTTTGAAAAAATTTACACTCACCGAGGTTTAATGTCTTTGAAAGACATTTATACTAACATCTATGATTTGTGAATTTTTTTACACTAATATTTATATAAAATCACATTATAAAATCTAAAAATGTCAATGCCCCATTGCATATAGAACATTTACTAACACTGCAAAGTTAAATAAGACACTTAAGATGACAAAATTTATTTTCAAACTCACTTTCTTCAATTCTATTTTATGTTGGATATATAACACCAATTTCAATTCGAACTTTAACTTCCAACATTTTCAACTCTTCCATTTAAAAAACGGAAGGAGTACAAAGCACGGGATGGAGTATAAAATGAGATATTTTATTTTTATCGAATACTCCGTAATCAATAAAAGCACACAAATAAGCAACAATTCCTGTGATTTTTGAATAGTGAAGTGTGAACATCTTTTTGGGACGGAGGGAATAACTTTTATGTAACTTTTATAATATGTGTGATTTAGATCATGTGGAGTGATAAATATGATGGAAGAAAATAAGATAGAAACACACAATCAGCATGGTCGTCGTGTCTACTTAGGGGCTGGTATTTCAGGTTTGGTTCGGCTTCTTATTGCAGTTTTGTTTGATTATCGAGGATCTTATTACAAAAGAGAAACCAACTTTATTTGATACAGTTCAGTTTCGGTTTGGGTTAATTAGGTTTTTTTAAGTTGCTTTTATGGTGTTCCATAGGTTCGGTACAGATTTAGATGGTTTAAGTTCAGTTTAACATATTATGAGAACAAAGTTAAGAAATCAAAAGCAAATAACATGTGTTTTGGATTCATTCAATTTCACCTAATGATCACCAAACTACCAGATTCAGCTATCTGGATTCCTAAGAAGTAAGAAGTGTACAAGCAATCAACAATCATGACATGAATCAAGATGAGACATTGGGAAAGAGCTTCTCACCTGCTGCCATGGCCCTTCAGGCAAGAAAATCGGAGCTTCCGGAATGTAATTGGAGGCCTCTTTTGAAACTGAAGCAGCAACTGACATGGTCCTTCTGCACCGACCGGAGAACCGATATCTCTGCAATTCATCACTTCTCTAACACACATCAATCCATTTTTCTTCAAAAACGCATGAAGAAGGAAGAACCTAAACAAAATAAAACACTAAATCCACCGGAATTTGGGAGGAAGAAGAAACCTTTGAGGTGTTGAGCTCCAAAAATCTGAGAGATACAAAGTGAGGAATACACGTCGACATCAAAAAGGGCAAGAGGATTGGCCAAAGCTGAATCTGTTTTTAGAGAAGAAAATGGGTGGAATCTCAGCAAGGAAAAAAAAGCAAGATGCACCCTCAAAAAGTAGAAAAAAGGTAAAATACACCCTCACTTCTCCCAAATACCATAATCCACCTTAAAAAGAAATTATTCCTTCCACATCACGTTCAACCATCAAACAGCTTCAAACAAACTCACGCGAAATTTTAAAAAAAAATGCTGTAAATAGATCAAAATAAGTAAAAAAGAAGTATAAGAATATCAATCTTATTCGAATTCTCAAATCCTTATTGCAAACCCAACAAAGCATACCAATCAATTGGATTCTTAAATCTTATTGCACAGCCAATCAAAGCATCGGAAATCAACATATGCAGTGGGTGAATTGGGAAATTACCAAGTCACAGGCAGCTTTCGTGGGTTGTCGCCGCCGGTATCTGTCTTCGTCGCTGACCCTTCGTTCCTCCCCAAAAACGGCGAGAACAATCCGGTGGGAATCTAGCTGATGAGGTACGCCGTACCAGCAGAAGACTGAAAGTGGAAATGAGGTCTAAGCAGGGTAGAAATGCCAATAACTCAATGTTTTTTTGGGTCCTGTCCTTCCCTCCTACAATTTGTACAAAAGATTATTGTCTTGACTAAAGTACCTTCAATTTTGTTATAATAACTTCGAGATCCCATTATTTTTTAAAATATACTTTGAGTTACTTTAAAATTTCCAAAACTTTACTCCGAGTTGACAATCCGTCAATCTACCGTCCACGCCAATTCCTCCGTCATCTTTTATCTTCCTCTTTCTTTTTCTCATCTTCTTCGAGACTTTGACCTTCTTCTCCCTTTTCTTCTTATTCTTTTTCTCTTTTCTTTTTTTTCTTCCTCTTCTTCCGATCTCTTCTTTCGATTTGTTGCAGCCCCTCATCCTCTCCTTTTTTTCCTTCTTTTATATAATTATTATTATTATTATTAATTTTATTATTATTATTATTATTATTTATTATTATTATCAACTTTTTTTGTGAACCATAAGCCGGTGCTATAGAGTAATTATTATTGTTATTATTTTTATTTTTATTCATTATTATTATTACTATTACTATTATTATTATTATCTTTTTTGTGATTCATAAAGCCGGTGCTACAACAAAATCTTCTTCTCAATTGACTTTCTTGGTCAAAGTTCGTAAACTTTGACATTTATTTGCAAAAAAATCACTACGTTATGATATTTATAAAGACAATAATAACAACAACAACAACAAAAAGATGATGATGATGATGATGATGATGATGATGATGATGATGATGATGATGATGATGATGATAATAATACGACGGGGTATAAAATAAGTAAAAAAAGAGAGGGCAGGTCGGTCCTGAGACTTCAACGGCCTGGGTCGAGACAGAAAAAAGGCCTTATCCCCAATTCCCTATTGGTCTAAACAATTAAAATATGTAAACTAATTATATTTAAATGACAATTAACCCAATAGTATTAAAAGAAAATAAGTAAATGACAGAATCATAGTAGTATTATTATATACTTTAAAAGCTAGCCCAGAATTAGTAAAGTTCTCCTTGCATTTTTTAAAGCAAATTGATTGATCACATCTTAGTGAAATGAAATACACAAATACAAACTTTAAATTTCCAAAAAAAAACAGATCTTCAGATTATTAAATTAATAGATTTTTAGATTTTCACAACAAATTCATAACAATTAGCAAAAATTTCAAAAAAATATTTTCAATTTTTCACATGACAAATTCATATAATAAATTGTCAAATTCACAACAAAAATTCATGAAACAAATTCATAAAGATTAAATACTTTCAGATTTTCACATAACAAATTGTAAAATTCTTAAAGAAATTCTGAAATTGGTATTTTTTGCCTCCGTACCTGGACGGCGGACTCCTGGACCTGGAGGCTGGAGAGTTTCCGGCGAGGCGGCGTCTGGCGGGCAGCGGCTAGACTCTGGAGCAGTGGAGCGTGCAGGCAGGCGGCGGCGTCTGGCTGTCGGCGGCAAATCTCTCTCGGCGACTTCCTTCTGTGGAACGGAAATAGGAAGGCTAAGGAGTTTTGGGCTTTGGCTGGGCTGGTCAAACTGCATGTCCCCCTAATAGGCCGGCCTGCCTGGTCATTTACATTGTCAAAAATATAGTAATGTGCACGTGTATAATGCTACATTAACACAGTACGAACTCTTATTTCAAAAATAAAAATATGGAAGTCCTATTTTGATACTTTTCTATGTTTTAATATTATTTACAGTAATTCCCTAGAGGTCGGTTCACGTGAGAATGCACCTTGGTGAAAGAAATAAAAATAAAATCTAGCCTTTGGATCTGATACATTGTGTGGCACAGATTTGCATCCTGCGCTCAGATTTTGAAATAGTGCATTTTCAAAAGATTTTGGTGCATTTCGACATAATGTATTTTCAAACCATTTTGGTAGATCTAATTTTGATGCAATCCTGACCCTTAGATCTAACAATCTAAAACACCAGATTCATTCTTATTCCTTTCATAAGATCGCATTCTTATATATATATATATATATATATATATATATATATATATATATATATTACACCTAAAAGTACATATCTAGTGGGTTTCAGTCTATCATATTGATATAAAAATATAAAAATAAAATTTTCATATTTTAAAACTATATTAGAATTAGAAATTATACAAAATAATACTCCCTCTGTCCCTAAATAAAGTTTTTCTTTCGTTTTTTTTTGTCCCTAAATAAACTTCTCTTTTCCCTTAAAAAACCTTTTTACCCCTTACTTTTTTCATACCCTACCTATCACATCATACCTTTTTACTAATAATCTACCTATCACATCTTACTTTTACACATCACCTCAAGGGTATTTTTGGAAAGTCAACATAAAAATATCTCTCCCTTAAATCCTGAAAAAGTCAAAAATGGAACTTTATTTAGGGACGGAGGGAGTAGATGACATGGATACTTTATTTATCGAATAATGAATGTGAATATACAAATAATGCATTTTGTAATCAACTAGATCTCTAACCCGTGCGTTGCACAGAGCGTAGTTTGGGATAATATATGGTAATAATATATTTAATTTAAAATTTTACAAAGTAAGCATATAAAAAATGTGATTCTAATATAAAGATTAAAAGAATTAACTAATACAGAAGGGAATATGACAAACCTACAATAACAAATTAAAGGTTCACAAAATCTTCTTTGTAAACAACATTTGTTGTGGTATTCAATCTTTAAATTTAGTTCATGCTTGAGTGCATCAGATGCCCTTATGTTGAATACGAATTCTAGGGAATGCAAGTCAGATGCGACATCAATATTTAAATTGAATTTTACCCAACACCATTTGAGCACTAATTGGTATTCTTTGAAAAAACGTATATTTTGGATTAATCCAAAAAAATGAATCAAGATATATACTCATGCGATGCACAACAAATAATTGTTTTGAAAATAACAATTATGAAAAATTATAAAAAAAATTAATGTAGTATAATTTTTAGACAGTATAGGTTCCTAATGGAAAAATTGCATAAAGTAAAAATTAAAATGAAAACATAAACTAATTGGTATTCTTAGAAAAAGATCTTTACTATATTTAATATGTGAAAAGTATTGAATTAGGAAAATATTTAGGGACACAAGGGATACAACTTCATAAAGACTGAATATCATAACTCTATTTTCAATGATATGTTAATGTGGAGTAATATTTTTTGAACAAAAATAATGAATTGAGAATTATTGGATATTTTTTATATAAACCAATTTTGTGAACTTATATGCATCAAATATGGAGTATAGCTTGGAGTAACATCATCACCATAAAAATGAAGTGATAAATCAATAGAACATCACTACTTAATTCTCTCTATTCCTATTCCACATTAATCTGTAATAATCACTTTCCTACTATATTAAGTCATTTTTCTACATGTCATTTTTTTCTAATCTCCCTCCTTACTAGGCTCTACATGTCACTTTCCTACCAATTTTGTGAACTTATATACATGTTCTCTTTGCTAGGCTGTGCAAGTTAAACTTTTAATTGATGACCTTTCTGAAACTAGAAAACTTGACGGTGTAAAATATACTTTTTGGGATGAAAGCTTCACATTGAAGGTATGTTTTATTAGTACATCGGAGAGAATTTTTTTTCTGAATTGTAGCAAGTGGCTTACTGGTGGATAAAGTAAAAACTATGGCCTCTATCTCATCCAAAACAAACAGTATGAATCTACCACTTTGCCCATTTGTTTTAAATCTTCTACCCCTTATGTCTCAAAACAATGAGTGATGCTTGTTATGCAGCTCTTGGTTCTAGATAGTAGTCATTTATTTATTTAAATTAGAGATTGCTAAATATGACTAACGTGCTTGGTACTTGTGATGATTTAACTTAGTAGTTGAACTAATGGTTGATTTGATTTGGGAAAGACCGATAAGAGAGAAATGTGAGAGAAAATAAATGAGAAAGGTAGAACCTTTTGGTTTAAGAGAATTTGGTAAGAAAGAAGAGAGAACGAAGTCTTGTTTGAAAATTTAGAGAGGATCATATATATCGAAAGACAAAAAGAACCTTCATTGCCCCCAATGTCATTTCGGTCTCTCTCTCTCTCTCTCCAAAAATAAGAGACGATGATATTTACATATCATTTGCATGGTGGTTTAAGTGCTTGCCACTTCGTGTCGCTTGTGAAAAATTGATGCCTCGTTGAATTGGACCCTCACAACTTTGGTCTGGTCTCAGAATGCCTTGATGCTGTCGTATAAATTATATGTGCATCTCACTTTGTCAATTGAACTGATTTTGAGTTCCTTTCTATATGGTCTCACAGAGTGTAGAGATGTTCTTGAAGCCCTTGAATATGCACCCTGTTCAGTCGAAGACCATACTGGACAAATTTGCTGCTGTTGAAATACTTCAGGTTACCACAATTCCCTTTTGCCCTTTCCTAACTCTGTTGGGCTCCAAGTAGGAACTAATTTCTCATTCATTGTATAACAAAAAAAACAGCTCCAATAGCAAAATGTAAATATAAAAATAAAAATAATGCATTTATCACTCCAGCAGTAATAATAATAATAATAATAATAATAATAATAATAATAATAATAATTTCTTTGGTATTGTTTGTATCAGGGGTATTTGGATTTTGTCAACAGAGGCGAAAGGCTAAAGTTAGAAAGAGGGGATGCCAATGCCGAAATAAGGAGTGATGATTCACGGGGAGAATGAAGAAGAGTCCTCTTGTCATCACCCAACCTTCAATGCCATATGACTAAAGGCCACATAAACCCCACAATATCATGTTATATTCTTTATTAGGTCATAACTTCTCTCCATTCTCTCGTGTCACAATTTTTCTCAAAAAAAAAAAACTCACACCTCAAGCCTGGATTTTAATGTTTAATGGTATTTGAAACTTGTTATTTCTCTTTGTAATTAGTTTGTTAGATTTGAAAAAATGTGGTTCTTTCTTTTTTAATAGAAAAAAGCAATTTGCATTACCTCTCATGAGAAACTGAACAATAAAGTTAGGAGGAACAGCCTCCCAAGTCTCAAACACCACAATGATTTTTTTTGCACTCTGAGCAAGGGTATGAGCCATCTTATTAAACTATCTACAAACAAAATGAAAAGAAATAAAAGAAAAAGAAGGCAAGAAACCATAACAAGCATCAACCAAAGAACCAAAGTATGATGGCATAAAACCCCCCTCATGTTGAAGAGACTTCACCACCTCAAAGTTATTTGAACACATTGCCATCTCTTTATACGTAAAAACATATTATTTACTCTTTCACACACACACATACATATATATTACACCTAAAAGTTTATATATCTAGTGGGTTTCAGTCTATCATATTCATATAAAAAATAAAATTTTCATATTTTAAAACTACATTAGAATCAAAAGTTTCTACAAGACATGGATACTTTATTCATCGAATAATCAATGTGAATATACAAATAATGCACTTTGTAATCAATTGTGGGGGTAAATTTCAGTAATCAATTGTGGTTGCGCCATGTGCTGCATATAATGGGCCATCATGGCCGGGAACATCTGCTCGTAGGCCACCTGCGGCATCACCAACGGTGGCATCACTGGAGGTGGTACGACTGGGGGTGGTACAACTGGTGGCTGTCCCGCTGGCTCAAGTTGATTCTGCTGCTGCCCTCCGTCACCCAGAGGCGTGAAACTCGAACCCTCGGTGTTCACCGTGTGCACGCTCACGTGCTCCATCTCCGGAACGTACTGACCATGGGTCGATTCTTGACTCATTCTAAAATAATAAGGAAATTCCCAAGTCAGACCTTAACATATAACAGATAAAGCTATAAATACTTATTACCTTCCCGGGGCAGAGGAGTTACGTGAGATGCAGATGCGGCTAAATTATTCATTGTATTTTATTTTGAAACGGTCCAAAGACCGATTTTCAAACCAAATGCTCCGATACCAAATTGTAACACCCCAACCCGCGTAACCCAAACCCGTGAGACAGCGGACCAGTGTGCCACTGGATTGGTATCCGAATTTACAACATTTTCAAAACAATTTAAAACAAACATTCCATCAATACATATAAAAATCCATCGGAGTAATTTAAAATAATGCGGAAGCCTTTTTAAAGTCAAACAACTTGGGATCTTGCCCGAAAACGTAATAAGCATTAAAGTTAATTAAATAAAGCATAACTACAGATCAAACCCAAGATCGCAGACCCTCGTGCGCACGTCTTAACCTCACTGACCAGGCCCTGCAGCCGCCCGAGCGATGGTCAGTTTCTATGTTCAACACAATAAACCAATTGACCTTAATCACCAATTAGAATTAATTAATTAACTTAACTAATTCATTAAAGTTTGGATTTAACCATTCGGTCAAACTTACAACAACAGAATATCCAGTCAAAGTCCAAGTCAAACAGGACCTAACCCAAGTCAAAGACAAACCTGTTCAGTCAATTCACAATCCTCAACAATTCAATTCAAACAATCAATTTAATTCAATTAACCAATTTAGCCAAATTATAGCATAAACACATATAACGATCCAAACCATTAAATCGATTCTGAATGCTATTAACTTCATAGTACGGACCTGGATTACGTCGAAATCGAATCGATAGCTCGAACGGAAGACAAATCAACGAAATCAACCGAACGGGTCAAATCGA